AAAATGGGTATGGAGTTTTCTCAAAGAACTAATATCAGATCTGCCATGTTATTCAACAATCTCCCTCCTAAGTTTCTACGCAAAGGAACAGAAGCTGTTATACAGAAAAGACACCCGCACTCTGATGTTTATCACACCACAATCACAATGGCAATGATGTGGAATCGACCTAAATGCCTATTGTATATATATATTCAATCTGGCCATCAAAAAGAATAAAGTACTGTCTTTTTCAGCAACTTGGTTGCAATTGAAGAACATCATGCTCTGTAAAGTGACCCAGGAACAGAACGCCAAATTGCATGTTCTCACTAATAACAAGTGGGAGGTAAGCTAGGGATCTGCAGAGTCATGTAGGAAGGAGCTCAGAAGGGGAAGGGATGAGACATCACCTCTTGGGTATTAATAGAATGTGTGCAGGTGAGGGGTGATATGTCCTCCTAAAACCCAGACTTTGCCACTATACGATGCATCCATGTAATCAAACACTATTTGTATCTTCTGAGGTTGTTGAAAAAAAATTTGTTAAAAAGATAGTGTAATATATGCTTACAATTTGTTAAAACAACAGACCTTAAATTCGTTACAATTTATTACAAAATATGTAAGTTGATGAATGTCTTCATTACCTTGATGGTACTGATCATTTAGCAATGTGCAGATATATTGCATCACACAATAAATGTGTGCAGTTATAAACAGCCAAACAAATAATAATATACTGAAAAACCTCAAAAGACACACTAAAAAGTCTAATCTGAGATTCCACAAACACAAGTCAGCAAACCCAGAGGAACCGATCATAGGGGCCAACCAGCCTCTTCCTGCTTTTCTACTTTTCTACTTCACAGATTTTACTCCTAAGTCCCCGTTCCCCCTTCCACCTGTTCCCTCATGTGTCCTTAAAATGTTGAGGCACCTTGGACAGACCCTCGTTCCCTTGAGTTCCTGCTCAACCTCTTTCCTGTAGCAATCACATCCTACTGATACAACCTGTCCTCCCTAGCTCAGGTTTAACTAGAGTCCACTGCGTTTATCTTTAGCGAGAGCAATATTTGCTCCCGCCTTTCAGGGTTTGATTGCTTTAGACTGGTCACAGTAAAGGCAGATAGATGAGACGCTTACCTCTGGGTTCTAGGACTATTGAGAAAGAAGTTAAGCAACTGGGGTTTTAAAATGTGATCAATTTCTTATCCAACTCTGTGGTTACATTGACACTTGATGATAAACATTGACAATTGATCATTAAAATAGCAGTTATCTCGGGAGTGGGTTAGTTATTAGGGGAGTGAGTTCCTGATGACAGGATGAGCTTGGCCCCTTTCCCCTCTCTTTCTGTCCTGTCTCCCTCACCTCCATTCTCTCTTGTCCTCCTGTCATCCACCACCAACGATGCCCTTGCTGATCTGGGCCCCCCGACCTTGGACTTTCAGCCTCCTAAGCTGTAGGAGAAACAAATCGGTGCTCTGGATAAACTGCCCAGTCTCAGTTATTCTGTTCTAGCAGCAGAGAACTGACTGAGTCACTACTCTAAATTAAACTCTGACATTTCCGTGGTGCAGCTTTTTTGGTTTCTGTTGGACGCTATGCTTTTTTCCTCATTGCTGATGGTGAAATCGTTCCGTCGTCTCTCATGGATGGCTCACACTGCTCATGCTCCATACTCCCTTGTGGCTTCTTTTCTCCTGCAGCCTGACACTTTACTGCCGTGTCTTCCGTTCAGACCATCCTAGACAAATGGTGCCATGGAATGGACTCTTCACATCCCATGTGGGGAACCATTTGGGGAAAGTCCTCCTTCCTGTCCCCTGTGCCACTGCCCAACCACGGGAGGGCTGCTCTGGCTTTAGGCAAGCCTCCTTTTCCAAGTTGCTATGCCCTTGTTTGTCTACATGGTGACCTCGACAACAGCCACAGAATATTCTAGTTTGTGAAGCCATATCTAGCTTTGACAAAAATAAAATCTCTTTGTAGTTGTGAGTCTCCCATCCCACTGGGGTCCTTATTTCAGTACCTCATTAAAACTATTTTTTTCTTTTTTTTTTGAGTTGGAGTCTCACTGTCACCCAGACTGGAGTGCAGTGGCCGCTCCCAGTCACCGCAGCCTCAACCTGCTGGGCTCCAGCAATCCTTCCGCCTCAGCCTTCCTGGAACTACAGGTGCGCGCTACCAAGCCTGGCTAATTTTTTTTGATTTATTGTAGACATGAAGTCTCACCAAGTTGCCCAGGCAGGTCTCAAATCTGCGGGCTCAGGAAATCCACTCACCTCGGCCTCCCAGAGCGCGGGATTACAGGCTGAGCCACCGAGCCTGGTTAAAACTAATTTTTTTTCCTTTGGAAAGCAGGATTTATTGAGAGGACAGAAAAGCTCCCACAGTAGGAGTGGACCCAAGGGGTTGCCTGAAATTATTTAAAATCAATTAAATTCTTTACCTGAACTTTCAATGTTTGTAGAACATTTCCTTGCTTTAACAGGAAAATTTTGTCATTTTAATTTTTTTTTGGACTAAAGAATGTTTGTGACAATTTAGTAATGTTGTTAATCTTTCCCATTTCCCCCAACAAAAAGTTTCTTTGACTGAGCTGTGAGGACCAAATCACTAATCACTTTCCAACAGTTCCTTGTGTCCCCTGGCACGTCATGAATAGTTATTTCTCATAGAGAAGAGAGAATTGGTGGTTGCCCGAGCATGAGATTTTTAAGAAACGTATTGTTTGCAGCTATTGGAGGTACATCAGTAAGTAGGTAAGGAACAAAAAGTTCTTCTTGTAGATCATAATGGGTCATGCCAAGACAGTATTTTCATTTTCTTCTGTTACTTGTTACAACACTATCCAAAGAGAAAACTGGAGTTCAGAATTTCCCAATTCTTCTAGACTCTCTACCTAGTTAAACAGTTCATTCTTGAAATACTGGCACTGGATTGCTTTGTCCTATTTTGGAAATACAGTGTTGCCCTTTTAGATGAATTTGTGAAGACAGGGAAGCACATTAAAATTCTTTTTATTGTCTGTCTGTCTGGGCAAAAAAGAATTCGACTTCTCTGAACATTCTTCATAGCAAAATGGCAGGATGTTTTTCATTGGCATAAAAACCAGCCACACTTTTTGATGCAAAGTAAGTCATCAGTAGACCATAGGACCTGTTTGTGAGTTGATGATCTCTTCAGGCCAGTATTTCCCTTAATATATTTGCTAAATAACATAGATATGGCATTTTGGTATCTATAATTAATTTAAACTCATGTCTTCATATAGGAAGGGACCAGGAAGTTTAAGGCTATAGTGATTTAAATGATGTTACCTTTGCTTCATAAATAGTGTGGTAGGTTGAAAATACTTCCCATTGAAGCCAGTGACCATTTGCCTCAGGTTTAATTGGGAGAATTGGAGCTTCAGAAGGTTGGTCTGGTGGAAGGGTAGGGTAGGTCCATCAGCTGTCGGGTGTCAGGCATTTCTCCTTTACTCCGCCCCTTGTTAAAGCAAACATGCTCACCAGGAGTAATCAAACATTAAAACAAGGCTTGGACAGTACCGACTCCAACCTCCTTCTCTGACGAATATTCCTGACTCACAGTGATCAGAGGACTTTGACAGCAAGTTAAAAATGCTCAAGTAAAAACGAATGCCGCCGGAGACCACCATACTAAGGGAACTATCACAGAAACAGAAAACTGAAAACCGCATCTTGTCACGTGTAAGTGGGAGCTGAACACTGGGCACACACGGGCATAAGGACGGAAACAGCAGACACTGGGGACTTTTAATGGGGGAGGGAAGGAGGAGAGGGAGGGTTGAGAAGACACTTGTTGGGTACCAAGCCCAACACACGGGTGATGGGCTCAATAGAAGTTCGAACCTCACCATCGCGCAATACATTGATGCAACAAACAAATGCATATACCCTTGCATTCCAAAAACAATAATAATAAAAAATAAAAGAAACCTGGCTTGCTGTACTTGTTCTGAGCAGCACGGGTTCTTTATTTGAGGACCAGGTGATTGGAAAGAGCCTCATCAAATGGGGCTATTGTTTTTTTTTTATTTTTATTTTTTTTTTTGAGTTGGAGTCTCACTCTGTCACGCAGACTGGAGTGCAGTGGCCGCTCCCGGTCACCACAGCCTCGACCTGCTGGGCTCTGGCGATCCTTCCACCTCAGCCTTCCAAGTAGCTGGAACTACAGGTGCGCGCTACCACGCCCAGCTAATTTTTTTTTTTTTAAATTTACTGTAGAGATGAGGTCTCGCCAAGTTGCCCAGGCGAGTCTTGAACCTGCGGGCTCAAGCAATTCATTCACCTCGACCTCCCAAAGCGCGGGATTACAGGCTGAGCCACTGAACCCGGCCTGGGGCTGTTATTTTAAACATTATTTTATTTTTCAAAGCTCTTGCCCAGCGTTTCTGAGGCTGGTATGTGGCTTCCCGTGTAGCAGAGGGTGGTGTATAGCTGAGGAGCCCATGACATGCTGATGTTTTTAAGGCTTGTCACGAAGGGTGTAGGAAGCCAAATTATGCCACTCCAAAATAGACACCTTTGACATATTTGGATATGGCTATTCCAAGGAGCGGCAGACACAGGAATAGCTCTGAGACGCTGTCCTTGGTTGTGGAGATTTGCATCTGTGGAGGAAATCTACGGGAGTGGAGTAAACAGAGGATGCACACAGGCTCTCCCAGGGGCCTCCCTCCTCTGCCTTATCAGATCTGGAACAATTTGTCCATTCAGGACTCAGGTACGACCAATGCCGGAAAGAAAATTTAAACTTCTTTAGCGTGCAAATAATGTCTGTATGCTTTTCCTGTAAGATATCCCTGCAGAGATCTGAAAGAATCAGAAGAAAATCAATGATTGGTTCCAGCTTGATTTCAGAATCATTGGCAGCTGCAGTCTCTGCCACACCTTTCTTGTGATTGGTAGCAAGCTGGAGTCACATCCTCTACTTGGCTCTCAATGAGGCAAAACAAAGTTCTAGTCAGCTTTGCTGAACCGTGGACAAAGATGGATGTGAAGCCCAGTCACTCCGTGAAGCTGAACGATGGACACCGCATGCCAGTGCTCGGATTTGGCACGTACGCTTTCGCAGATGTAAGTGGACTCCAGGAGAGTGAAGGGTTCTTTATCAACTGCCCTGGAAGAGCCGTCAACAGACAGGTGTCCTGCTCTTTGTAGACTGTGGATGATGGGAAGATTTCATCAAGGCATCCATTTCTTACTAACTTGCTTCTTTTTAGGCCACAGAGAGATTTTTGGCATGAAGAAGGATGAGAATGTCTTGATGCTGGGATTCAGAGACTGATAATTTTGTGGGTGCATTGTCTTTGTTACTATTAATAATATTAATGCTATCTGCCATATATCAAATGCTTTCTGTGTTTTCTAAGTGTTTACCACGATTGTCTTCTTTAATTTCTAGCAACGCTCCTAGGTAAGTGCTCATTCTTTGTCTTGCATTCTTAAACAAGCTCAGACTGTCCTCCCTGACTCAATTTCTGCCTTGGCCAGGGCGGTGCTTCTCTTGGTTAAAAACCTGAAGGGCAAAGGACCCAGGAGGACCTGGAAGCCAACATGAATACTTGGCAGCAGTCTTGCTTGAGACTGCTGGGGCTGGAAGTGTTTACCAGAGAGTTTCAACCATCCAAATGCTTTGTTGTATAAGAAGTCACATGATCCCAACCTTTTGGTATGAGGAAAGGGAGATTTAGGAGATTAGAGTCACAGGAGGGCCTGATTTGTGCTTCTCCCAACACATGAATCCCCATCCACACAGAGCCCTGCAGTGAACTTCAAGTGTCACACCCTGGACACAGTGCGATAAGGGCAACTTTGGAGGGATTGCCCCAAATGATGAGGCCGATATGCCCAACCTTGGGAGCGAGTAGCCATTTTCTTTATTGTGATAGCTTCACGACAAGGTATGCCTTGCCTACATTCGATCCAACTTGTATTGCTGTTGTTCAATTGGAAAAGTGCCATAGAGAATAGAAAAGATGTCCCATAATTTTCTCGCTTATAGGAGCAAAAGTCATACTTGCATGTGCTGAAGTTTCAGACAGTTTAAATGTCTGGTGTGAAGTGGAAGCCTCCTTAACACGCTAAGGGGCTGTTTTCCTTAATGGGACTCCCCTCCACTATAGGAATACTTTATCTGAGTCGATGCTGGAATGACTCGCCTACTCCAGGGCGTGTGATCTGCTTCCTTTGTCCTACAGATTTGTCTTCTGGAAACATGCAAGCACAGTGCTTCAGTCCAGGCATTCAACAATCCAGTATTTGAATTTTGGGGCAGCCTGTGTATAGGTTGTATGAGATCTGTGCTATGGGTGAGACCAGCAGGTCAGAGGAGGGGCCATCAGTTCTCTTGGCTTCTGTCTCTGCCTCTGGCTGTTCTCTCTGTGACATTTCCTGGGTCTGGCTCCAGTGTTCCTGCCTCCGAGACATTCCAGAGAAGTTTTTGCAATGACCACAGGACAACCTCAAATAACCCCCTGCTTATGAAACCAGTGCCTTGATGTTTGTCAACTACAGAGAGGTCAGGCACACAAAAGGAACTCAATAAATGCTTGTTGCGTTAATGTTGAGTGAGAATGCTTGGGGAATGAAGAATACAAAACAATCATAAATGAAGGGCCAAGTTGGGTGAAAACTGGGAAGGATGGATATTATAGAATCATTTCCAATTGCTCTCTAAATGCAGATGCTGTGTGTGTGTATGAATATGTTCTTACTGAGTTCTGCAGAAGATTTCCCCTGTATCATGAAATTTCTTGTTAGTTATTTTGCAAATTCTATTTTTATGGAATGAAATTTAATTTTTTCATGCTCCCTAGTAAAGTCCATTTCACTAATTTGTCTGGGATTAGGAATGACACTGAAGTTTAGTTGACATTCCCAGAGTACAAGTCTATCACTGAAACATTCACCATCTAACAAGGGAGGCGGGAGGCTGGCAGAAACCGCTGTCCAAAATGCTATTGAGGAAATACATTGCTTCTCTCCGAGTCAGGCATATCATCCACTGTTCTTATTCCTGCTGTATAGACTTCCAAGAGCAAGGCTGGCGAGGCCACCAGAGTGGCTATTGACGTAGGTTTCCGTCACATCGATGCAGCGTACTTCTATCAAAACGAGGAGGAGGTCGGACGGGCCATTCGCGAGAAGATCGCCGACGGCACCGTGAGGAGAGAGGACATCTTCTACACCACCAAGGTGAAGGGCCCGTGTGTGGAGTCGCCAGAGGCCACTGCTGTTCAGATATTTCATTTTGAAAGAAACAAATTGATCTCTTTTTGTAAGATTATTTATTTCCTAATATTATAGAGGAACTTGATAGAAACATAGAAAAGGTTTGCTTTCTCAGATGTGTGTTAAAGGTTTGCTTTCTCAGATGACAAGTTCTCCCAGGTCTCTCAGCATGAGATGTTACTTGCATGGAACATGAGAGCAGTAAGCCTTATCTACTTTAACCGTTGTGCAGATTCACTGAACACTAAGGGCCCACTTCTTTAATTCTTCTGAGATACTGTTCAGAAAAAGAAGCCAGATGAGAAAATATTTTTTTCCCCCAAGTCCTCATTGAATTTCCTGAACTTTCTAACATTTTTCCAGATGGTAAATCCTGCTTCTATGTAAACAGAGCTGAGGTCTCCGTTGGTGCATGCTACATGTCTTTACATCTCCGAGAACAACGTGGTTTTAAAATGTGGAACTCTCAGCAGAATTGTCTTTTAGAATTATATGGAACAAGAGATTCCATTTACACTGTCCTGCCATTTCTTGAGACTTTTCAGAGGATAAGTCCTCTAACCCTTGACACACTGAGGTTGTTTTTCCTGTCCTGAGTTTGGTTCACAGTTTTCTGACTCTGCAGTCACTCAAGTAAATCAGTATTCCATCAAGGACCTGATTTAGGCCAAGTAACATAAATTTAGCCCCAGCTTTTTTAGTTTTAGTTCACCCCATGGTTTGTTTCTCACTTATCGATATTTTAACTCTAATGCTTAATTTTAGTCCCCTGGTGTGACAAATTCATAAGCCGCATTCATTTCTTTTGCTCACTGCAGCTTTGGGCTACTTTCTTTCGACCAGAATTGGTTCGACCAGCCCTGGAAAGGTCACTGAAGAAGCTTGAATTGGACTATGTAGATCTCTTCATTATTCACGTACCATTTGCTATGAAGGTCAGCCTTTGTTTTCCTTGTTATGCCCATGGTTGTGTGATCACTTTTTAAATGATCATTAAAAAATCATTATCTCATTCCAGATAGGTTTTTGGATTCTTGCTGACAGGTATGTATCAGTGAGGCACACACACGTTTCTAAATCATTCAGGAGTCTCCATGATTGTTGAGCCATTCAACCCTCAAGATTCTCTTTTTATCCTCATCCTTCACCTAAACAGGGATTCAGGTTCTTTAACCTCACTGACTCTTCTCATAGAATTGAGAGGATTGGGCTTTATTTTTGAGTGATTGTGCACATGTCTATGGGCTGTTAATGGTGAGGGTCCTCAAGAATGTTGAGTCACTATAGTCTGCCAGAAATTCAGTGGAAATCCCACCTCTTCAGGGTAGGGTCTCTCTCATATGTACCTCTCCGCCCAAAGGAGAGAGGAGTAGCTGGTTGCTACTCCTACATATGTTGCACCACATGGCTGCTACGGACTTCATTGATCCAACTTCTGTCACAGTGGACATTTGCCGAGCACATCTGATAGCTTCACTATTTGAGTTTGTTATCATAAACTAGACCTAAGCAAATCGATGAATAGTTATGGTAACTGACGTCCTCTAAACAAGCCTGTCCTTGAGAAACAAAACGTGTTCCACTGTAGGATATTTATTCCAGAGAGGTGTAGGTGTGTGTGGAGGAAGGAGAGTTGAGGTGTTTTGGGGGACAGGTGTTTTGCTATAGTCTCTCAGATGACTGGGGCTTCCTTTTCCCCCATGTATTTTTTTTCGCAAACACACACATATACACTCACACATGTGAACACACAGAGACACACTCAGATTAATCATCTCAGCTTCCTGAAGGTTTTGTGGCAGGCTCCTTAGGCACCAGAATTGTTTCTGAACCAAAACCTTCTTTCTTTCCTGTTCTCTCTGTATTCCAGCCGGGGGAGGAACTGCTGCCAAAGGATGTCAATGGGGGATTTATTTTAGAAACTGTGAACATTCGTGACACCTGGGAGGTACGATGTGTATAGACACTCGGAGGCACTGTGTGGTGGGGTGGAGTCAGGGGATGGGGAGTCCCAAGGGATGGGATTATGCTCAAGCCTTATCTGACCTCAGGCATGTCCTGGAACCTTTTTGCCCCTCTGTGTTGTCACCTGTAAAGTGAGGGAGTTGAGCAGGATGACCTTGGAGGTGCATTTTCCTTTTACCTTCTGTGGTTGTGAGTAGGCATTTATGGTGCCCGTCAGATCAGGTTGAGGACGTGAGACCTATTAAGAGGATCAGGAGAAACAAGCACAAAGAGTTGTCGCTTCATCTCAGGACAGATCATTACACCACAGAGGAAGGGAAATGCTGACTCAACAGAAGGGTGGCCTGCAAGGCGTACAGAGCCCCTCCCATAGTCATTTTGGACCATTCTAGAAAGGGAATGGAAACAAACCTCCTACTAGTGGAGAATCTGAAAATTTCCTTTTGCTTTTGATGATGAGATGGCATAATTTGTTTAAAAATCAGTTGCACACCAAACAGCAAAATAGACACCATTCAAGAGAGTGGGGCATGTAAGGGAAATTTTAATGCATCTTGATGTCTGTTGGTTGACCTGAGTGTGTACGTAATAGAATCAAGTGGAAAAATTTATGTATGCACAGGAAGGAAGGGCATGAGGGAACAGCATCTTCAAGCGATAGAACTGTTTGATTCAGTCTAATTGTTATGTGTTAATACAGATTCTCAGTTCATAAAAAGTCCAAGGACAAACGAAAAGGGCAAACTACGCTAAAGGTCTTCCTCGTCTTTCCTTCCTCCCCAGGCCCTGGAGAAGTGCAAAGATGCAGGTCTAACCAGGTCCATCGGGGTGTCCAACTTCAACCACAAGCAGCTGGAACTGATCCTGAACGAGCCGGGGCTCAAGTACAAGCCCGTCTGCAACCAGGCGAGCCCTGAGTCCACCGGGGCCTTCTCTCACTTTCTGCTTCTACACTCTCCTTCTTAACTGTGTCTCCCAGTTCCTGCTTGATACCAACCGTGTTGATGATAGTTCATTCCATGGAAATAGGAATTGCCAGAGAAAGAGCAGGTTGAGTGGAGTGGGAAGAGCAGGATTTCTGTTCTTCAGCAGGGGACTTGAGTTTCCTGGAGACAGCCAAAGGGGAGAGGCTGAGTTGGTGGGTGGCAGCCTTGTTCTAGGGCTCAGGAGGTGGCCCAGGCCAGAGATGTAGATTTTTGGAGTCATTGCTCTCTGGATGGCAACTAAACTCACAGGAATGGATCGCTTTCCCAGGGGAGTTCATAGAACGAAAGGAAGAGGCAGGAAGCCCACACGGAAGGGTCCAGTATAGAGGCCCTGGCACGCAGATGGAGCAGGAGTTTCCAGACAGGCGGGGAGACAGTGAGGGAAGTGTGGTGTCAGGAGGAAAGAAGAAGGGGGGTTGGAAAGGCCTGAGCGGGTGGAGGGTGGGTCCTGCGGAGGGGTGGCCGCACAAGAGGGAGGGAAAGGGTGTTGGTTAGTAGAGGGAAGTCGTGGGAATCCAAGCAGGGCAACTTCAGAGTGGGGAGAGTTGAAGCCAGACCAGAGGAAGGGCGTGGGGAGGGGAAGCGGAGACATCACAATTAAAGCAAGTGAGTTTTAAGGAAGAACTTAATACTGCCAAATATCAAACAGTTTTTATGACATTGCTAAGTTTACAAGCTTTTGGTAATTATACAAAAAAGCGATTGAAGTATCAATGCCCATTTTCTTAGTTATTCATTTCTAGGTATCTATTTCTATAAAGTTAAAACATGTAATAAAAACTCAGATATAGATATATGTGAATATTTTAATCATATTTTTAAAATCACACCCAATGATTAGAATATCAAACATTCAATGGGTGGGGCAATAATTACACTTATTGTGGCTTCAGGGAGATCTATGCTAGGATATTACAAAGAGAAACATAAGCTTCTGCTATTATATTCAATATTATATGCTACTCTGCAGTTAGGATGCTTTCAAGCTTAAGAAATGGAAAACTCAACTCAGACTGTCTTGCGTTTTAAAGAAGTTGATTTACTTATGGAAGGCTTGGGGTCTGGTTGCTAGGAACTGGAAGAACTTTTTTGAAACGAATGCATTTTGCCTATGCCCTACCCATCATAGCTACAGGATGGCTCCCCGCAGGCCACTGGGCTCTACGTCTCCTCGCTCATATTCAGCAGGAAAGAGAAACTATTTCTAAAGATGGTGGGAGAATTTTCACAGAAGGATTTTAGCAATTTTTTTTTTTAATGTGCCATTGGCTGGAACCACTTCATGTGCTTTTTGTCAGCCAATCTGGTTGTCAAAAACATAGAGTGGTCAGACCCAGAATTCAGTACACTATGGTGTAGTGAGTGTGCATGAGAAGGAAAGACCATGACACCCGGTTGGGAGTCAGCTTCTTCAGGGCACAGAGTCTGAATACAGGAGAAGGGAGGAATACTTCCTTATTCTCATAAGGAATACTGTGAATCAACACTATTCACTTTATATGCTATATGTAAAATGATTCAAAATCTTAAACATGACTGAAATTAAGCTTAGCAAAATGATTACAGTGGCTGCATCGTTCTGGTGGAATTCAAAGTGACTTTGTGGTGTTTTTTTCCTGTATATAACACAAAAATATTTCTCTTATTACTTTTTTATACTTTTTCCTATCTAAAATGTCAAACTATAAAAAAGGTACAGAGAATAGTATAATGACCTTCTCTCGTAGTGACTTCCTCTGAATCGTCTCTTGTCACCTTTTCCCTGGCAGTGCTCTTGGGAGAAAGGAAGCTAGATGTAAGTTTATAGACGGACCAAATTTAAAAAGCAATGAGTAAAGTTTTTCCCTAAAGTCTTCCTCATACAGACTCTGGGTCTTAGATCAATCAGGGTTATAAGCTTATTTTGTTTTGAATCTTCTAAGACTTTTGAAACACCATGTCAGTCATTTCCTACTTTAAGTTGATAGTTTGAAATTCTATCATGAGTTTGGTATTTAATAAATATTTAATTAATTAATAATTAATTTCTACAAAACATGACATTTACAGCATATTATCTATAATGTGTTTTGTTTCAAGATCTTGCAGTTATAGATTAAATTCATTATTTTATAAAATATAAATAGGTAAATCTAAAACTCATTGTTGAACCTTACAGAAAAAGAAGCTCATTTTATTTTTTAATTCAACTCAACATGTTAATACTTGTCCTCTCTTCAACCATATCACTCCAGAGGAGTATATTTTTAAGATATTGACTTATGGATAAATGCATGGGTGGAAAGATAGATAATGAAAAGATAGATATATAAAAAGATAAATACATTAGATAGATAGGTAGACAGACAGATATCTGAGTTTTCCTAGAAATTGTCTCCTGAATGAGAAAAGAAATATATAGATATATAAAATCAAAGATTTCTCTGTTTTCCCATTAAGATACTCCCCATCAGAGACTATGTATTTGCAAATTAAGATAATATGGATTTAAGTAAGATATACTTCTTTAAAAGGCAAAACCCTTTGAACGTGTCTCAAAGATCAATAAGAAAGGTTTTAATAGGGAAGAGTAAATACAGCTGAAAATTGATGGCACTGGGTGTCTGAGGTGGGAAGAGGTGTCACAGTTGACTGGGAAGTGCTTTTCCCTAGGGGAACAGAACCTCCCCAGGGGTTGTCCTGTTTGCAAGCCTGCTCGATCTCAGGCTGGATCCAGGTCCAGGGTTGTAAGAAAGGAAAAACCTGGGAGTGTGGACAACTCTAGGCAGTGGGTCCAGATTGTCCTTTTGTTTGGAAATAAATGATTCATTTTTTGCATTTCAAGCAACTCTCTAGAAGTATTTTAGACTGTGAAGAGTGGAGTGGATAGGATGGCGTAGAATGTACAAGCAGCAGAGCTCAAGCAAAAGAGGTCTCAGGCCAAACCAGTCTCTAGAAGCATTTTAGACTGTGAGCTGTCTTTCTTTGGGGAAGTGGAGCAGGCCAGGAGTGGGTGGATGGGACAGGGTGGAATGTACAAGCAGCAGAGCTCAGGCAGAAGAGGTCTCAGGCCACGTTGCTGCTGGAAGCCAATGAGGATGAAATGCTTTCCCGAAGTTGACCTTGCCTCTGCCCCGGGAGGTCCCTACATTCCCAGGTGGAAAAAGCTGCTGACCTGGGAAAGTTAATGGAATCTTTTTTCCTTTCAGGTTTTTGACTTCAAATTGACTCCAGAAGACATGAAAGCCATCGAGGGCCTCAACAGAAATTTCCGATATACTGTTTTAGAATTGTAAGTGACTCCTAGAGATGGTTTCACAGGTTGTTTTTTGTAACATGCAGGCAAACAGAGAGACAGAAATCCCTAAATCAGGAGATGCCTGATCTTAAGCTCAGGCCTGAAATAGGAGTGTCCCCGTAGTCCTCAGACCAGTGGTTTTCTCCAGGGCTCAGTCTCTGACCCAAAAGAAATGTGAGTCCATAAGTCAAGCTGCTGCAGTTCACGCCATTGTGAATTCACTTGTTTGATGCCCTTTCCACCTGTGCCTGCCTTCTGTACTCAAGGCTTACTTATCCATTAGACTGGAAGTCATGGTGCTTAAGAACCATGACACTATTAGGGTCTCATGATGTTTTGTCTTTAATTTTTTAAAATCATAAGAAAAATTGAATATAATATTAATGAATATGCAATGATCCATCCAGCCTGGTCCATCTCCATGTCTTCACCAATACAATGTAAGACACTATTTTCATATTTTCATGGTGATGGGTCCCATGAAATCATACATTCACAGGTCCTGGGGAGTCACAGTGGGTCCTGCTTCCATTTCCTCCCCTAAGTGTCCAGTGGCATTTCAGCGGAATGTGGCATTCCCTTTTCTGGATACCGTCTATGTCTTCCAAATTTATCTCCTCCTTGACTTCCTTTGGCTATCACAACCCTCACTTCCTTAGTTATATGATCTTACCAAACTGAAATATTAATAAATTATGAAATTAATGGACCCTTATAGGTTGTTGACTAATGTGTCCTTAGTCACTTTGACCAAGATAAGATTCTCTGGAAGTTCTCTGCCTCTTCAAGTCAAGACCATTACTCAAATGCCTTCCTTGTCTCTAGAAGTCTTTCTCTGAAGAGCCCAGCATCCCTTCCCTTTGATTTTTTTCATGACATTTCATTGGTTCATCTCCTGCAGGATCTCAGGTTGAGGAGAAAGAAGACTCATCAAACAGAGAGAAGTTTAGAGGAGTGATTAGAAGTTGGGAGAGATAAAGGTTCGGTTATGAGAATAAAAAGTTAGTCTTCTAAAAACAAATCTGAAAAAACCCTTCCTTCTTGTAAAACAATACCAGGATCCTCAGAAAAGACATCTTAAATGAGCTGGGAAAGAACTTTTCCATCCCCATGAGCTTTTAAGTTTAAGTCTGTGACCTGATTCCTGAGACTGTGAATGCCTTTTCTTATTTGTCTCGGAGGTCCTGTGCCCTTAAGCTAGCTCCTGGCACATGGAGCTGCAAAGAGGGTACTCTTTCATGTCATTTGGTTGAAAAGGATAAATTATAAAAAGAGAAAGAACATGGAGAAAGAAAGACAAAAAATAATACTAGTTACTGAATTTTTTTTTTTTTTGAGCTGGGGTCTCACTCTGTCACTCATTCAGTGCAGTGGTGTGATCCTGGTTCACCCAGCGTTGGCCTGCGGGACTCAGGTGAACCTCCCAACTCAGCCTCCTGAGTAGCTGGGACTACAGGCATGCACCACCATGCCTGGATTTTTTTTTTTTTTTTTGTACCGTCTTGGTCATACTATATTGCCCAGTCTGATCTTGAACTCCAGGGCTCAAGTGATCCTCCTGCCTTGATCTCCCAACAGTGCCAGCATTACAGGCATGAGCTATCATGCCCAGTAGCTTATGAATTATAATTCAGAAAACTAACTATATTTTATAGTCTGGCTTTTAGAAAGACATCTTGTCTGGTCCATAGATGAGAGTGTGTGTGCTCGTGTACAAGTAGGATCATCCTAACTGCATCTTTCGAGAATTCCCTTCTTGGACAGAGTGGAAACATAGTTGATCAATTAATTAATTTATTTTTTATTGCTGTCTTTCTGAATTCCACGTATTTATTTATTTGTTTTATGTCAATAGCTGTAGGGGGTACCAATGGCTTTTGGTTACATGGTTGCATTGTACAGTGGTGAAGAAGTCTGGACTTCAAGTGTTCCCATCACCCCCACCTGTGTTCACTGAATCTGAGAGGTGATTTTTCATCCCTCTACCCATTCTTCCCTCCCTTTCTGAGTCTCCAATGTCCATGATATCATTCCCTATGCCTTTGCAGATCCTTAGTTTAGCTCTTGCTTATAAGTGAGAACATGCAGTGTTTGGTTTTCTTCCTTGAATTAGTTCACTTAGGATGATGCTCTCCAATTCCATCCAAGTTGCTGTAAGAGACAGTATTTGATTTTTGATGGCTGAATTCATTATTGTTTTTTTTCTTTCAGTGCGGCTAATCACCCTTACTATCCATTTTCTGAGGAATACTGACCATGAGTTATTCAACATGACTACCAGCATTTCCTCTGTTTAGGTGGCGCGGAGAGGATTTCTGTATTTGCCGGAGGAGAATGGAAAGCAGTGTTTATAATTCCAAGTTGTTTTCCTCTCACTTTTTTCAGGTTATGGAAAAATAAAAACCTTTTAAAAATGACTTATTTTTTCTGATTATTTAGAAATAGGTGCAAATTACAAAAAAGTTAGGAAATAAAAGAGAAAAGATACAGAACAAAAGTAACCTGTAATTCTTCCATTCCAGAATACTTAGCATTTGGTGCATTTTTCTTTGTGATTTTTCTGTGCAAATGTGTGGGAGTTTTTTTTGTGTGTGTGTGTTTGCACAAAACTCGAAATTAGCTTCGACATACAGGTTGCATACTTTTAAAAAAAAACTATCAAACATTATTCAAAACTTCTGGAATCATATTTTACATGTTGTAAATCAGTACATCTTATTAATGTGTTACATTTCTTTTTTATGTATTTTATTTTATAGTTGTGGGATACAAGTGAAGATTTACTACATAAGTAGGTTGTATGCAGGTGGGTTGGGCTTCTAGCTGGGCCTCTTTTCCCTGAGAGTGGACCCAGTATCTAGTGTATTGCCGTGTGCATTTCTCCCTCCTTCCACCATCCCTCCCTGAGCAGTATCTAGCATCTACCATCTCACTCTTATGCTCATGTGACCAGAGATCAGGGCCCACTTTCTTTTTTTGAGTTGGAGTCTCACTCTGTCACCCAGGCTTGGGTGCAGTGGCATGTTCATGGCTACCCCAGCATCGTTCTGCTGGACTCAGGCGATCCTTCCGCCTCATACTTCCAAGTAGCTGGAACTACAGGTAAGCCCTACGGCAACCAGTTAATTTTTAAATTTATTGTAGAGATGAGGTCTTGCCAAGTTGCCCGGGCTGATCTTGAACCCACAGGCTCAGGTAATCCACTCATCTCTTCCTCTCAAAGCACTGGGTTTATAGGCTGAGCCACCAAGCCCAGTGAGGGCCCACTTATTAATGAGAACAAGTGGAATTCAGTTCTTTGTTTCTATGATAGTTTGACTTAAAATGATGGTCTCCATCTACATCTATGTTACTTCGAAGGCCATGACTTTGTTATTCTTTATGGATGTAAAATCAGGGACATGTTAGTTCAAGTTTATAAGGATAATGCCGTAAAGAAAATGGCAGTGTACAAATGGATTAAGCATTTTTCTGATGGAAGAGAAAGGGTCACCAATGAAGAGAGGTCAGGTTGGCCACTAAGAAGCAGAACTCACAAAAACATTGCAAAAATTTGTTGAATTGTGTGTCAAAATCATTGGCAGACTGTGAGAGCATAGCAGACCAAATAAACAGCAATAGAGAAACAGTTAGGAAAATCTTGGTATGAGAAAGGTGTGTGCAAAAATGGTCCCAAAGGAACTCTTGCATAAAGACAGTACGTCAGCTCACACTGCACTGTCTGTGAGGGAGTTTTTAGTCAGTAAACAAATAACTGTATTGGAACGCCCTCCCTACTCACCTGATCTGGGCCCCAGTGACTCTTTTCTTTATGCAAGATAAAGGAAATTTTGAATGGAAGACATTTTGATGACATTCAGGACATCAAGGGTAATATGACAGCTCTGATGGCCATTCCAGAAAAGAGTTCCAAAACTACTTGGTGGGTGGATGGACACTAGAATTGGTGCATAATTTCTCAAGGGGAGTACTCCAAAGTTGACCATAGTGATATGCAGCAATGAGGTATGCAGCACTTTTTCTAGGATGAGTTTACGAACTTAATTGTCATACTGCATAGAATTATATCATCTACAAAGAGTGATCATTTAACTTGTTCATTTCCTATTTGGATATCCTTGATTTCTTTCTCTTGCCTGAGTGCTCTGGCTAGGACATCCAGTACAATATCCAAAAGGAGGGGTAAGAGGGGCCTCCTTGTCTTGTTCCAGTTCCTAGGGGAAAATTTTGCTTTTCAGTTTCTGCCCATTTGGTATGATATTGACAGTAGATCTCTTAGAGAAGGCTTTTATTGTTCTGAAGAATATTCTCAATGCCTAGGTGTTTGAGGTTCTTGGTTTTATACTTGTTTATGTGATGAATTATATTTTATAGACTTAAATATGTTGAATCATTCATTCTAGGAAGGAAGCCCACTGGGATGTGATGAACTTGAAATATATTGCTGGAAACTATTTAATAGAAATTTGTTAAGAATTTGTGTATCTAGGTATTTCATCAAAATTGGCTTGTGGTTCTCTTTCCTTGTTAAGTCTTTGTCAGTTCTGAGTATCAGAAGCATATTAGCTTCATAGAATATGCAGTGGAGAATTCCCTCCTTCTTAATTTCCTGGAATACTTTCAATAGATTTGGTATCAGCTCTTTCTTGTATGTCCTGTGGAATTCAGCTCAGAAACTATGTGACACGGGGCTTGCTTTTTGTTTTTTTTTTTTTGGCAAGGATGTTTCTGATAACTGGGTTGATTTCTTGGATTGTTATTAGGGCTTTAATTTCTTTGTGTTTCAACAATGGTAGGTCATGTGATTCCAGGAAACCCCCCCCCCCCCATTTCTTTAAGATGAGATGTTTGTGGGAATCTCTGATAATCCTTTTATTTTCTTCAGGGTCAGTTGTGACATCACCTTTTTGGTTTCCAATTTGTTTATTCAGACTTTCTCTCTCCTTTGGATCAATCTGGTCTCAAGGGTCTGTTTGTTAATCTTATTATTTTTTTCAAAGAATCAGGTTTTTGTCTGATTCTTTCTATTTTTTTTGTATTCTAGTTTGTAAAATTGTGACTTTATTTTAGTAATTTGAATTTTTCTGCTAACCTTAGCATTTAATTATTAGTGCCTTTCTAGCTCCCTTTGGAGTGACATTAGGTTGTTCACTTGAGATCCCTCTATTTTCCTGATATGTATATGTAAAACTGAAATCTTCCCTCTCAGCACTGATTTCATGGTATCCCAGGGGTTTTGATATGTTGTGTCTTTTTTTCCATTTGTTTTCAGAAATCTTTTAAATTCTGTCTTGATTTCTATGTTAACCCCAAAGTAATTCAGCAGCCTGTTGCTTAATTTCCATGTGTTTGTATGTTTGGGAGAATTTATTTTGGTGATGATATTTATTTTTATCCCACTGTGGTCTGAGAAGACGCTTGGTATTATTTTAATCTTTTGAAATTTGTCCACTCTTGATTTATGCCAAGAACATGGTCAATCTTTCAGCATGTTCCGTGTACTGATGAGTAGAATGTATACTTTGTGGTTGCCAGGTGACATGTTCTTTAGATGTCTATTAGCTCAATTGGTTGAGTGTTGAATTAGGGGTTTAGATGTCCTTGTTATTTTTTTGGCCTCAGTGGACTGTTTAGGACTGTTAGTGGATTATAGACTCTGACCATAATTGTATACATTTATATATCTTCTCTTAGTTTAAGTAGCAATTGTTTTATAAATCAAGGTGCTCTTCTGTTAACTGCATATATATTTAAAATAGATATTTCTCACTGGTAGATTGAGCCTTTTATCATTATGTAGTATTCTTCAGTGTCTTTTCAACTTTTATTGGTTTTAAGTCTGTTTTGTTGGATATAAGAATGGCTACCTGTGCTCTTTTTTGTTTTCCATTTTCTTGGAAGATCTTACTTTGAGTCTGTGGGTGTCCTTTGCAGTGAGATGGGTTTCCTGAAGGCAGCAGTTGGATAATATTTCTTTATCCGTTTTTCTATTTTATGCCTTTTGAGTGGCATGTTCCATACATTCATGTTCAAATTAATTATTGACATATGAGGGTTTATCATTGTCATAATGCTCTTAATGTATGCTTTGCTTTTGTTTTCTGTTTTCTTTTTTAAGTTTTGTAGTTGATCTGTATGGTCTGTTAACTCTGTGCTTGCCTGTGCTTTTGCTATGGGTGGAAATGTTCTTTTGCTTCTGTGCTTGGAACTTTCTTAAGCATCTCCTGAAAGGCTGGTCTGGAGGTACCATTTTCTCTTAGGAATTTGAAGTCTAGGAAGGATTGTAATTCTCCATCACTGATAAAGCTTAGCTCAGTGGGATAGGAAATTCTTGGCAGGAATTGCTTATCTTTGAGAATGTTACAGATTAGGCTCCTGGTTCTTCTCGCTATAAGGTTTCTGCTGAAAAGTGTGCTACAGATCTGATATTTCCACCCTGGTGGATTGTCTGTCCCTTTTCTCTAGTTATCTTTAGGATTTTTTCTTTCATCTTATCATTCTTAACTTTGAGATAGATTACTATGTGTCTTGGAGATGGGCTTCTCATGTAATACCTTGTAAGGGTTCTCTGGATCTCTTGTGTTTGAATGGTTGTCTCTCTAGTGAGATGGGGGAATTTTCTTGGATGATCTCTTTGGAAGATTGGTTCTAGGGTGTTCTCAGTTTGCCCTTCTGTCTTAGGGATGCCAATCAACTATAGATTAGGTTTCTTTACATAATCTCAAACCTCTTATAGGCTTTGCTCATTCTTCCTGAGCCTTTTCTCCTTGTTTTTGTCCAACTAGATTAGTTCAACATTTTGATCCTCAGGCTCTGAGATTCTTTCTTTTGCTTGGTCAATTCTGCTACCTAGGCCTGTCGTTGTGCTTTGAAATTCTTCATTTTGGTGATTTTAGTTCTGACTTTTATTATTTTGTTTCCTGGGTGATTTGTGCTTTTGTTGCCTGGGTGATCTGTGCGTTCATCTTCTCGTGTTTTTCCTTGGCTGTTTTTTCCATACATTGTCTGAATTCTAAGTTTGTCATCAGGGACAGGTTATTCTGGATGGTTTCTATTGCCTGGGGTCTGTGAGGACCTTTTGTGGGTAATACCCCATTAAGGCTTCGGGGATTGTTGGTGTGTTTCCCCTGGTTCTTCCTCATCTGTAAAAACCAACTTTTTTCTTTTTATTATTTTGTTTTGTTTTGTAATTAGATATGTCTAATTGTCCTAGAGTTTTTTCTGTACTAGAGATATACTGTCTTATTTTCTGAAATTAGGGAATTGAATTATGAATTCTTTAGTTTCCACATCTTTGTGACTATTTCCCCCTTTTTTGTGTAGTCATATACAATACATTTCATATATTTATTCTTTAGAGTTTTCTTTTTGTAAGTGCATGTTCAAGTC